CCCTGTCCTTTGGCAGGAACCAGGTTCTGATTCTGTTTGTTCCCTGTGGTTTTATGTGACTCATCCATCAAATGGCTCCCTCTGAGACCTGACTAGAGACCTGCCACATGTCTTGGCTGGCTACTTCCTGGGTGGCATGTGTGCTTCATTTATGTTGTCTCCTGGGGAGGTCCACAGTTCTCTCTGCCTCACATCATGACTCTGTGCTTAATCCATGGGTTCAGGAGGTAACAGCTGAGTTTTTCCACTATAAAGCTCCCCTCGTCCTGCTAACTAATGGTCTCACCTATTACCACTGCCTGCACAAATCCAAAATTAGTAGTTGCAAAGTGGTTGATTCTTTCATATGTCTATTATTCTTTGCACATTTATTAGTTGGAAATCTTCATTTATGAAAATCACTCACTGACAACCGGAGTTACTGTGAAAGACAGCAGGAACACTGTATCGCAACGCTCCTTCCTTTTTCCTCTAATAGTGCCCAGTTAATTAGGCGCTCTGTTTTTGTTTGTTTCTCTAAGAACTCTGCTTTTCTTCTTGAGTAGCAAAAATTGTAAATATACTTTGATCCCTGTTTCTGTTCTGTGTTTCATTCCTCTCATCTTTGGCCATAGGAACCATTCCTGGGGACGCCTATGTCTTTGAACAGTCTCTTAGTTCTTAGTATGCTGTTTTCCTTTTCATTTGCAGGAGAGAAAACAAGGTTAAGAGTTCTGGACGCAATAGCTAAAGCTATTTGTCCAGCTCCTCTTTCCCTCACTGCCTCTGTGAGCCACTAGTCATCGACGCTGCCTACTTACCCACACCCCACTTTCCCAGCCTTTCTTTCTATGAAAAAGGAAAAGGCAAGAGCGGAAAGCACCCAGCCTTGGTAGCATGAGTTTGTAGTGGTTCCGTCTGTGCTTCGAGCAGTTGATTAGTGGTGCAGAAAGGCCACGTTGTCTACCGTCCCTTTCTCAGATCATTTCTTAGTATCACAAAAGTAGCTCTCAGCACCTGAGAGGCCTGTAATATGGAAATCAATGTCATGACTGCTTTCTTGTTGCATTTTACTCAATGACTAATTTGCAAAGTGTTTCTCTATTTTCTTTTTTTTTTTTTTTTTTTTTTTGGTTTTTCGAGGCAGGGTTTCTCTGTGGCTTTGGAGCCTGTCCTGGAACTAGCTCTATAGACCAGGCTGGTCTCGAACTCACAGAGATCCGCCTGCCTCTGCCTCCCGAGTGCTGGGATTAAAGGCGTGCGCCACCATCGCCCGGCTTGTTTCTCCATTTTCTAACTGAGGCCAGTTATTCCCTCGTAACATTCCATCAGATGTCCTCTCATCTGATGAGGGGTCCCAAGTTAGAGATGAATGCCAATAATTTCAGTGACATACATACATATTGCGTATGGTATTTGTGATCAGTCCTATTACCCTTTATACTTTTAAAATGTGCTCCCTCTTGCACCAAGTCTGAACAGGCCTTCACTTCCGCTCCTGTCTGCTTGAGCACATGATGGTGAGGTCAGCTCCCATTTCTGAAACCGATTAAAAATTAGTAGGTTGTTTTTATTAGCTACTATAAAAGAGGTTGCTGGGCCTAAAGAGATAGCTCAGCAATTAAATACACTGACTTTCAGATGACCTGGGTTTGATTCCTAGCACCCACATGGTGGCTCACAAGCACCTGTAACTTCAGCTCCAGAACTGACATCCTGGGACACCAGGCACATGTGTGGTAAATGGACATACATGCAGATTAAATGTTCGTACACCAACAATTAAAATTTATGCCCTGACAATGCTGAAACACGCATGGGCAGCCCATATATGATGGAAAAACGCATGGGCAGCCCATATATGGTGGCTCTATTGAACTTGTCCTTATAAAAATATTTTTTAAAAGAAAGTTTGCCAAATAGTACCTGGCTTGTCCTCCAAATCATAGGAGTATCTAAGAAGCTCTGGGAAGCTCACCCACACTGGAGCCCACACTGCACGCTACCATGGTTACGGGAACTGTGTACTTTCTCTGCTGTACTTCAGCAGCTCCGGAACAGCACAGTCTGGTGAGGCGCTCTTGAAATCTGAGGTGAAACTGGGCTTGTGCTGTGTGTTCCTCGGAGTTGGCTGGATCATAGCTCCCTTTCCTCAGGGCCACTCAGTTCATTCTTCGGGTACCCCCCACAAGGAGTCTATCCGAGTTGGCGTTGCAGAAAAGAGTAAATCTGTCTCCCTCCTTAATGAAGGAAATAGAACTAAAACGGTATGAAGTTATCTGTCTTGAGACAAGAGAAGCTGGTATTGGTGCGCACACCTTTAATCCCTGAGAGACCCTGGGAGGCGGAGAGGAGGTTAGAAACTCATCACATCCCCTAGAACTGGATTGACAGCTATGGAGAACTCCCAACCTGTGTGCTGGGACCCTAACTTAGCTGCTCTTAGCTGAGCCGTCTCTCCAGCTTGTTTGCTTTGGTTTTTAGTTTAAGTGAAAAGAGGTCGTACCTCCTCCAAAATCCTGAGAAGTGAGTGACTTTTATACAGCGCTCAGCCTACTGCCTCAGTTCTCACCGTTTGACCTCAGCACTTAGTATTCCTGGAGCTATTGAGGTTCCGTCTACATAGGTTGTACACACTAGAAACTAAAACTGATCACTCTATTAGCAAATAGTGTTTGTGTGTGTGTGTGTGTGTGTGTGTGTGTGCGCGTGTGTAAGAACATTTTTTCTTTTTATTAGTTTTTAAGTTAGATTGGGTGGTAGTGGTACACTCCTTTAATCCCAGCACTCAGGAGGCAGAGAGGTAAGAAGATCTCTGTGAGTTTGAGGCCAGTCTGGTCTATAGAGCAAGTTCCAGGACAACCGGGCTACACAGAGAAACCCTGCCTCCAAAAAAAAAAAAAAGACGTTTTCAAGTTTGCATACAAAGTACTGGGTTTTGTTATGGCTTGGCTTTTTTGAGTGTGTGTGTGTTTCATGACCCTCTGTTCTTTTCTGTACCCCTCCCTACTGTCCTCCTTCATCCTCATTCCTGCCCCTTGCTGCCTGGCCCCCTTCCTCCCCATAAACATCTGGCCTTCTGCTTTCACATCATATGTATTCAATTGCCTTCTCTTTTTCAAAAAAACTTTTTTTTCTCAAAGAAAAGATATAATAGTAACTTATCTGCTTCTTCAGTCAGTTATAATAGCACACATTATTCAAATTCTAGAAAGTTTCATCATGTATATGTGAAAGAATGGGGGATTTTTTAAAAAATAAAGCAAACACATTTTCTTATCATAGTTTGAAAAAAATTAATGCTTATTTTATTTTTTATGTCTGAGTATTTTGTCTGCATACTACATGTTTGCCTGCCAGAAGACGGAAAGACCCTGGAGCTAGGGTTACAGCCATCATGTGGGCGCTGTGCAAGCACTCTCTTAACCCCTCCGCCATCTCTTTAGCTCTGATGCTGTTTTACCTCACGGGCCACTGGAAAGGTGATGGGGCTCCTGGACCATTTGGAAATTATTGGTCAAACCACTAGTTAGCACTCAATAAATTCTGATTATTATCATTATTATACAAAATTTTGTGGCTACAGAACACTACACAAATACTAGTGGTTAGAAGTATATATAGGCTCTGACTTCAAATGTATTTTTGAAGGATACTGAAGAAGACATTCAGATGAAACAAAAGAAGCAATGATTTTTACATAGATAAAGGGTAACATCCCAGAAATGAGTTCTTGAGATAAGTGACACAGACCTTGCTTTAGAAAATTGGTTTGTAACGTAGAACTTTCATTTTTTTTCTCCAGGAATCTTTTCCTCCCCTAGGGGACTAGGCCTTAGAGGGAACAGTGGTTAAATATTTACTCTGTAGTTGCTGAAAGAGCTGATCTATGGTTGTGGGAGCCCAACTGTGTTGTCTGAGTTTTCTGTCCAACCTGGTTCCCATAATTGTTAAGTCCCAAAGAAATCACACAGAGGTCTACATTAACTATAAACTGATTGGCCCATTAGCTCAGGCTTCTTATCAATTCTTATAACTTATATTAGCCCATTATTTTTGTCTATGCTAGTCACATGACTCGGTACCTTTTTCAGCAAGGCAGTCACATCTTGCTTCTTCTGTGGGAGGCTCACAACTGCAGAAAGAGCTTCCTTCTTCCCAGAATACTCCTGTCTCATTGACCTGCCTCTACTTCCTGTCTGGTTGCCCCACTTATACTTCCTGCTTGGCTACTGGCCAATCAGCATTTATTTAAAATATAATTGACAGAATATAGACATTTGTCCCACACCACAGCTGTGAGTGAAAGGTGTGTTGTCATTGTTCAGCAGGCTAGGCTTTATAATTTACAGGGAAATTGAGGCTGAATCTAAAACATTTATTACTATTGAACTGTGAGATCTTCTGAAGGAGCTGGCATGGGCCTTGATGGTAAAGACCAAAATCACAAGCAATGTAACAAGTAACTTGCAATAGATTTCTTTTTCTTTAAATATAATTTCTTTTCTCTTCTTTTTTAAAGTGTGTGTGTGCGTGCACGCACATGCACATGCATATGTACTGTGTGCTGCCGTGTGTATGACACAGCACACGTGGAAGTCTAAGGATCTTTTATCATGTGGTTCCATGTGATAGCAACCAACTTTACCCACTGAGCCATCTTGCCAGCTAGATTTAAGACTACAGTTCACATAACTATATAAATATAGTTTATATTTGCCAGACATCAATTTAAATTTTTTTGATTATTTTTATTTTATGTATATGAGTATTTTACCTGCATGAATGTATGTGCAGTGCCCCTGGAGGCCAGAAGAGGGCCTCAGGTTCCCTGGATGTGGAGCTACAGATGGCTATGAGCCACCATGTGAGTACTAGGAAACAAACCCGGGTCCTCTACAAGAGCAACCAGTACTCTTAACAGCGAAGCCATCTCTCTAGCCCCATACCTGTAATTTTAGGATATAAACATCTCACACAGTTTTTTACTTCCTCTTTTTCTTTGGGATGTGCTGGTGCAGACCATGGGGAATTCATATGCTGGGCAACTGAAATCGGCTAGATTTGAGGAAGCTCTACACAATTCCATAGAGGCCTCGCTCAGATGCAGCAGTGTCGTGCCACGGCCAATCTTTTCCCAGCTCTACTTGGACCCAGATCAACACCCTTTCTCATCTGCAGGTAAGTTCTCAATTGCAGGCATTTCTAGACCCCTTTCAAAGAAGCGGGAATTCCAAATCCTGCTAATCTTACACTCCCCAAAAATAACTTTCTAAATTTCTCTTATAATATTTTCTCCATAAACATCCTTCTTAAAAATTAAATTTGCATTGATTTCTTTGCTTACCCAGATGTCAAACCCAAGGTGGAAGACCTAGATAAAGATCTAGTACACCGCTACACTCAAAATGGCAGCCTGGATTTTTCTAACAACATAGCAATTAATGAAATGGAAGATGATGAAGATGAAGAAGAAATGTCTGACTCAAACAGCCCACCAATTCCCTATTCACAAAAGCCAGCCCCAGAAGGATCTTGCACTACCGATGGTAGGTTTGCACCTCTGAATTCTTTCAGATTTGTGTTGTAATTTCATCTGGCCTGTTTGGAATACCAGTCACTGTTGGAAGGAATGAGTGGCTATATCCTGATGCATTTATCTAATTACTCTTTACCAGTCAGATATCAGGGTAATAGATCAGAGAAGGAGTGGAGAAGTGACCAGTGACCTATCTCTGTCATTCCTCCATCCAAAGGAGATGAAACCCTCTCTAAGCCCCGCCCTACTACTTCCTGTCTCTCTATCTTTATTTAGTCCTTATGGTTAATTTTGGTCAGCTAGTACCTAGCACTGCCCTCTGATTCAAAGCAAACTTTATTGTCAGAATGCAACCAAAATATCACACAATCTCCTCACCCCTATGGACTCTTGAAAGCTCACAACAGTTGTCTGCAGGAAATAGCCCCTCTTGTAAAAGAGGAGAGTAAGGATCACAGCTGAACTAAAGATCTGTGAAGGTGCAAGTCCAGGCAAAGGTCAAGGCTTCTCCAGTACACTAAGAGTTTACGCTCCCATGAGCTTTTATTTAAAAAAATGTTTTGGCTTTCTCCTCCTTTTAGTTCACTTCCAAGATAGTAATAGATATTCTAGAAGCCCTGACTCTATATCTACCTGGAATATTTTTATTATTTATGTCTCGTGTGTGTTACATATTGTGTGGTGCTTATAAACCATGGTAACCACACGGATCAAAGGACAGCTTGCAGGAATAGGCTCTCTGCTTCCACCCTGGGGATGCCAGGGATCAAACTCAGATGTCATGCTTGCTGACAGTCATCTCACTGGTCCTACAGCTATACTCACTGAGTGATGAGGTAAAATATAAATCCTTTATAAATATTATAAACGTAAAATCTGGTTACACAGTATAAAATGTAAGTAATTTGATTCTCTCTCTCTTTCTCTCTACCCCCCATCCTTCCCTTACCCCCTCAGTTTTTTGAGACTGGGTCTCATTATGTAGTGTGGGCTGGCCTGGAATTCAGTATATAGAACATACTGGCACCAACTCACAGAGATTTATTTACGTGCCTCTGCCTCCTAAGTGATGCGGTTAAAGGTGTGCACCACGCCAGCTGATGCTCTCACTCTGCTTGTGCAGGTCAGCTTTATATCCCACCACACTTTTAACCACATTTTAAATAAGGAAACCATGGTTTCTAATGCTTTTATTGTTCTGTGGTTTCAGTGATATCCCAACTTAAAGTCTGCCTTTTTCCCCTTACCTAGCGGCTGTGTTCTGATCGCCCACCTAATTAGTATATGGAGTGTGGTTTTATATTCCAGCTGACTGATATTAGCCTGCATGGTGTCAGAGCATGAAAACCTTGAGGAGACAGGGAGGGGAGAAAGAAGAAGGTTCCAGATCTCAGGACAGTTTCCTGACAAAGCTTGGAGAAAAAGTCATTTGATATAAATTAAAGCCTTATTTTCCTAGATGAAGCCAGAAAAATAGTTGGCCTTGTTTGGAAATGTATTTTCTTTTGATCTCCTATTCCCTGAGAATCTAACAACCCATAGAGGACTCCAGCTCCTCTAGTTAGAGGGAGGGAAAAGAGACCTAAAGAATTCTCCTGTGGTTCACAAGTATCCATTGTGTTCTTCATGTTAGGCCTGCTCACGACACATCACTTCTATGGGTTTGCTTTCACATGTGGTTGACCCTTTTGCTCAGACTTAATATGTTGCACAGAGTTTACTCATTACTGGTGTGCCGTATGCCTTTAAACCCATGGGGATATGGACAGTGAAGCTGTGTGTTGCTGTTTACTTGATTTGTATTCTTGTTACGTTTTCTTCAATTGAGATCCTCCAGTAACAAATAACATTGAATAGTTCTTAAAATGATGGTGTCTCACTGAGAATCTAATTACATGTGATAATTTGATGTGGGATGTCCTTCTGTATACATGTTGCTTTTATTGGTTAATGAATAAAGCTGCTTTGGCCTATGGCAGGGCAGAATATAGCCAGGCTGGAAGAGATATATATAGAGAGTAGGCAGAGTCAAAGAGATGCCAGGTAGCTGCCAAAGGAGAAAGATGCCAGAACTTTCCGGTAAGTCACAGCCTCGTGGCAATACACAGATTAATAGAAGTAGGTTAATTTAAGATACAAGAGCTAGGTAGGAATACATCTAAGATATTGGCCAAGCAGTGTTACAATTAATACAATTTCTGTGTGATTGTTCAGGTCTGGACAGCAGAAATGAAAGAGCAGTCTCCATTTAAATAACTAAATAGAACTAGAGTATGGGAAGGAGGTTTTCCCTGTTCTTCTAGACCTGGAGTATGTTTTCAGTTCAGCAGTGATGTTATTTATAGCCAGGTATTTTGGAAAGGTATTTTGCAGGCACCAAATTATAAACTTGACGGCCTAACAATAATACACCTTTAATTCCAACACTTGGGAGGCAGAGGGGTGGATCTCTGTGAGTTTGAGGACAGCTTGACATATACCATGTCATGTATTCTAGGATAGTCACAGCTACATAGTGTCTCAAAGAAAACAAATAAACAACAACAGTGAGAATCCCATGAAGTCAGGATGCATCCTCCATATTTGTCAGGATCTCACTCTAACCCAGGCTGACCTTTAACTCACACCATACCTATAGAACTTGGAGTGATCCTTTTACCTCAGCCTCAGCCCCAAAGGGCAATGGTGATTTTAAGGTAAAGGCAGGCAATTTTTCTGAGAATAAAGAATTGTCCTCCAACAAAGCAGAAGATTCAGATCCAACACATTCTGAAGACACTCATTCTGTACCCAAATTCCTACATCAACTGCTTCCAGTTCTTAAAACTACTGTTATTGCTCTTGTCCCCTGCTTAACTCTCCCATTTAAAATAAAAAGATGTTTATAACCTGGTACTTTATATTTCACATAATGTTATCAATTCTGCTCGCTTGGCAATCGTTCTAAAGATCTTCCTGCTCAGAAGGAAAGCAGCCCTGAAGATGTGCTTACACAAGCAGCACTGAGACCCAGGGAACAGAATGACTGTGGCCTTGTTTGAGAACACCACCTTCCAGTCCCGGTCCCCTGTTTGCCTAAGGCTTGGGGGGACTCTAAGGCTATTTTTAGAGGCAATTTAGATAAGCAGGAACTTAACATCTGAGAGGTTGCCATTCATAGGGAAATTTTCCTTGCTAATTTCTTATGTAAATCATTGAACTAGAGCAGGTTCCTATCCTGCTGGGAAGCAGTTGATTGTCTACGCAGGTGAAGAGCAGCCAGATTGGGGCCTCTGAGAGCTGTTTTCATTACTTCAGTTGGGTTTGCTGCTGTGTCAGTAAATGTCCCTTTCCCCTTTTTATTTACTCTGGTGCCTTCAAGTTGGAGATAATTGGAGAATGCAAATCCCTTTCTATGAAGTGAAAACCCGGGCCATTTTCTTAAGAAAATGCAGATGAAGTTTATATAGAAGGGTTCTCTGTTATCACCACCACCATTTTAATTAAAATCATTTGTCTCAAAAGAGCGTTGGTGGGAGAGCAGCCTTCCATTATTGCTCTCAGATGAACTTATTCCCTGAGCAAGTTTGCAAAGCAAGTTGTCCACCCATATAAGCAACCATCTTCCCTCCCTGTGCGCAGCAGCAGCCTGGAGCCTTCCAGAGGGTGCCCTGAGGCGGTCTAGTTGTCTCTGAGGCATGGTCATATTAGCCTTTCAGAGTTATCTGCCTGCTATGAGGGATCCTGAGATTTGTTGGTCCGGAAATCCAGTCACATTTCATGGATTCTGTAGTTAACCACTCCTTATAGGCACAGTTTATTTTCAGTTAAAAAAAAATAGACATATTATGTTAAGAGCTAACATAATATTTTTTTTCTTTCTTTGGAAATCTCTGATCTATAGTAAGTTTAATTAGCTGTGCTAACCCCTGACAATGAGAATTTGGGGAAATATTCAGGAAATGTTTATAGTCAAACACCAGGTCCTTGGCAGGGGAACTTCAGAATCTTTAGGCTAACTACAAACTGAATTAAGTAACTTTTCTCTAATTCTGTGGCGTCTTTGGCCATAAACTGACTCCCTCCTGACCCTGTGCTCAGTGTAGCTTTCTCTTTCCGCTCCATTCTTTCTTTTTAATTAAATTGCCTGAGGCTGTGTTGGCAAGTAGCTTGAAGAAAAGTATTTCAAGAGTACTTTTTAGGAGTACCTTTATGTTTGTAGAAAGTGAAGCCTCAAGTTCCATTTCTATACATAGGCAGTTTCTTCCGTGACCAGCGTAGCACAGGAAGCACATGTGGTCTAGTAAGTGAGTTATTGCTCAGATACTTTTATGAGCTTTAACAAGTCTATGGTTTGCTTTGGCTCCTTGCTTTTATCCAATGTCCTTTTCTGAGCCAGGGTCCTATCAAAAAAATTACACAGGGTTAGCTTATCTTTTTAGGTTCCTCTTAGGTGTGACATTTTCATAGGTTTTATTCCTGGGTTTGATGGCCCTGGCAATTTTAGAATATTAATCAAAGATCTTGTAAAAAATTTCTTTATTCAAAGAGTTTGTTTTTCTTCTGATGACTCAGAGACTAGATGAGGATCCCAGAGGTGGAATTTATGTATGCATAACTGGGGACAAAGAAGCAACATATATTTATTTGAAGTTTTTACCTCATTGATATCCATTTCTTCTCCACCTTTTTTAATTTGTTCAGATATTTATGTCTAACCTTGTCGATATTTATTTTCTGGTTTGTGTTATACACAAGACTGCCGAGGATTATTTAAAGAGTTTTCGTTTCAGACGTGGAAGCTCTTTTCATTGGTTCTTGCACCCTTTTCACAGACCATCCTCACATTTTATCTTTCCTTTGTCTCAGGTACCAATGTTTTTAACCAAGAAGACTAGAAAGTATGCTTCTTAAAGAGTCCATTTATTGTTTAATGATTATTATTTTTGACCTCTGTCGTCCCACCCTAAATGGGAATCCCCAAGTCTGCCATACTAAAAACTGTTCATGCTTCTTCGTTTCAATGAGTTA